CAAAGCTATTGTATAGTGTGATTTTGAAAAAAAGCTTGTAAATTTAAGCTCCCCGCATTGGATCTGTCGTCGAGGGCGACGACAAGGCGGCGGGGGGGCATGTTAGATAGAGGGTCGGAGAGTCCCAGTGCCAGGGTGCCGCTGAAGAGAAGGGCGCTTTAAGGGGTCAGTTATGATGCGATCCTGATCGGTCTGTGATCGCGCGGGACCGCAGAGTTGTTTACGAAGAGAGGGCGCGGGAAGGGTGATATAAAAGGTACATAGAGAGTTGACTAGTGTTCTGTTTCCGTTCGGACATTGCGTCTGCTGGGAGTCGTCGGACTCCTGATCTATCAGTTCACCTTCCCCCTCCCCAACTTGTTCGCCTGTGTGGCACCAAACCAAGCCTGTGTGGCTCCTACCCGCCTGTGTGGCTGAGACCTTGTATCTGTGTGATCCCGACATTCGGCAGTCCGCAGCTCATCTCGTCCGTGACAGTCCCTACGCTCACTGGAAACCGCTCCGACCTTCAACTCAATTCATCTGATCCGTCTTTTCTAATTTGTTTTGTTTATTCCGTTCATTCGCATTGAGATTGTTGCGTTTTTGAGTTAATAAATTGTGTGGTTTTTTCTGTGTAATCCTTGCAACTGAACGGTACTGATCCGGAATCAGATACTTCATACTAATTTTACTTGCTTTTCGGCCTTACAAACGTAAAAACAGAGTTGGCCGCTGCACACGCATCGCCTGTTGTTGGGATCGCGAGCTATGAAGGCGGTACATAGGGGTACTGTACTTTTTTCGTGGTAGAGCTTATTCAGCTGCATTTCCTTCGCTACGCCTGTTTTGAAAATGATTCGCACCAACCAAGTCATGCTAGAAGTTAATTTTCCAAAGGCATGCCCAGGACCAAACTGGAGTGGTTCTTGGACACGAATATGAAGGTATTGGTAGAGAAGTGCTGGCAGTAGAAGAAAAAGGGAAAGAATCTGTCGAAAACGCTCACGTTGAGGGCTTGCTCACCTTAGCGCAGCTGTGCACAAGAATAGGTAACGAGAGACGACGCAGACTTTGTGGCGAGGGAGCGTAACAGATGAGAGGGCGCCAGACAACAGCCTGCTGCAGAAGGGGAACATTGCAGCTGCTGCAGCTAACTTTGCAAGGCCCTAGCGCCTTGTCGGTGATTTCCATGCACGGGAATGCCACATCTGTGATTGTCCTCTAGGGTCTATCCTACAGACCGAAGGGAATCGTTCACACGACCTCTGCCTGGGTTGTGCCTTTAATTCAGACCGTCAAGCTCCAATTTTACAATCGGGACTTTATTGACAGACTGCAATGACAATCAGTGTGCATCTTTTTGGGGATGAACCCGCTGAGAGCCGTCACCTCCTCGATTGCTCTTAGATAACCATAAAGAAAGCATAAGAGTTACACTTGCAAGGGTGTGGTTCACTAGGACAGAAAGCGACTTTTTCGCGTTTCGCAGCGCGAAACATTTTTCGCTGCGGGAACCTCGGGTCCACTGATTTTCGCTGCGGGAACCTCGGTCCACTGATGATCAAAGGTGGTCCGAGCTTACCGCAACGAAAAATGTTCGCGCTGCGTAACGCGAAAAATTCGCGGCGCAATGTGGCTCGGGGGTGGGCCACCTCGCAACATCGCGTCAAAATCACGGAAACGCTCCGTTTTAGGACTAAGCTTTTGAAGAGGAGAGGAACTCCGGTGTACGGAAGCAATTTTCGTATTCTCCGGAGTTCGTCCCTGGCTTAGTCCTAGATGACTTTTCTCAGAGTGCCCCCCCCCAGCCACATTGAGCCGAATTCGCTCTCTGTACTAGTGAACCACACCTAATGGACCACTCCGATGTGAAAGGCTACTCTGCATGAATTTGCCCCACTTAGGCTGGTGTCAGAGTCAACGATCGGTCACGCGATTCACTGAGATCACAAGTACTGACCAATATTGCGAGGTACTCTCCAATCCCGACGCCATTTCTGCTTGATACTGATGGTTGAATCACGACTGTTCATGATTCTACTTGTTTCATATTCATTTATTCAATGTTCAAAAAGGGCACATCAATTTCTGCATTCGTGATTTTTGCAAATCGCGCAAATCGCGCAGACGGTTCGTGGAGTCTGACACTAGCCTTACATGAAAGCTAGACGAACTCAATGGTAAACTATTCATTGAGCTAGAATTCTGAAAAAGCAGCCATAAGGCCGTGTTCACCATTTATTCAACATATAATAATTACAGAGGTAAGAAACATTACAACTTATTACAATGTCCTAAATACGTCCAGAGCGAGACAAACTCCGTAAATATCTAAGTTATCGAGAGTATTCGGAAGAAAACTCCGACGTTCGACGGGTGGTGGGTGTACCGGACATATATGAAGGAGGTTCATCGAACATATAAGTTGGTGGAGGCATCGCTTTTGGTTGTTGACCGGATGAACTGTCGCTGGGAGTCAAGTCGAAGGTATTTTCCATTTTCGTGTAGTCTGTGGTCATTTCGCCAAACGATGGCACTTTTTCCGAAGTCATCGAGTATAGATCTTTCTGAAGAAGATACTCTCTATTAAAAGTAGAAATAATGATGGGATCAAAAGGAATAGATAAACCAGCTCACGTGAGATCGATCTGTTGTAGTGTATGGATCATTCTAAAAACGGAGATATTTCTAGAGAAAGACCTTTCTTGAAATCATACGAGGAGGAAAAGAAACGTACGTAGGAGCGATCAGTTGCAGCGTATGGATCTCCCAATTTTCGCGGTTGAGCAGCACCAGCTGAAACGTCGGGAACGGTAAATCCAGATTCTTGTCTATGACGGCGACGAATATCGTCATAACTGGTTGAGGAGTGACCGACATTGTACTAAATTAACAAGTTATTAACGTTCTTCACCGGGGTAGATTAGCTAAAGTCGACGCTGGTATGCGGATCTCCCATAAACAAATGCATACAGATCATCACCACACGAATACTAGAAGTGCAACTATTCGTGCTAATCGGTTGTAGAGTGGCAAGAGATATGAATATCACACAACTCCGAAATTGTCGCTCGACGGCTAATAGGTTTCAACAGGAAACTGAACATGCTACTGACCAAGGGAAGGCATTCAACTTCCCATGGAACTTTGAATTGAGACCCAGATATATCGATAGAGCTTCAAACGCTGATTACAAATATGGAAACTAAAACTGCAAAATGAACCTGCCAAGGAAGTTGTGAGCAGTCAAAGTTGGCTGGAAGTAAAGCGTTACATATGAATCGTGGTAGCCTCCGGGCTTTCAGGTCGCTAGGAGTAGTGGTAGTGCTCTCGAAATTTGCACTCCAACGGGAAGAGAACTTGACCTCCCGGTGAAGAGCGAGGGCACTACCACTACTCCGCGGCGACTCTGAAAGCCCGGAGGCTAGCACGGTGTGTAATGCTTTACTTCCAGCCAACTTTGACTGCTCACAACTTCCTTGGCAGGTTCATTTTGCAGTTTTAGTTTCCATATTTGTAATCAGCGTTTGAAGCTCTATCGATATATCTGGGTCTCAACTCGAAGTTCCATGGGAAATTGAACGTCTTTCCTGTTGAGGCCTTCAATGTTGACCGGCGACCGCGAGCTCAACTTCCATAAAATAACCGCTCGGCCATTGTGTCGTTTTACGACAGAAGCTATATCTATAATACCTTATTTGAACTGTAAATACCTTTTGCCACATCTTGGCAACGAAAGGTTGTATACGTTCGCGGCACTGTCCCATGGCTAGTACGTTAACAGTGGTCAGCGTACCAATGCCCATTATGGCATAGAAAGGCCATCCTTTTGGTCCGAAATGATATTGAGGTGGAAGACGAGTTCGAGCAAAATACAGCGAACCAAGCACAGCGGCTGTGATTGGTAGCCCACGAGTCATTGTGACCTGAAAATGTTTGATACTAAATGGAGAGTTCGTAAAACTATGCGGAACACTTTGGATTTGATCGAGAGTCACCTATCCAAGTACTTCTTACAATCAACCCGAAAGTCTCCCTCCGTAATCATACTTGTCTTACACTTTCCCTCCTTTCCCTCTACGGAAATGCTACTACGGTGGGATAGCAAAGAAATTTACATCACGAACAATTAGGCTTTCGTTCTACAACTCTAGCCGAATTCTTTTTTCCTTAACGGAATTGTGTTCAGGGTGCTAACTTAGTTGGGGGGGGGCCACGCGGCGGCGCGGCAGTCTGCTCGCCTGGCATGTTCGGAAATCCGTGGGCCAGGGGGAGTGTAGGGGGTGGGGGGTGGGGGCAGTCACTTGACATGCGTGAAAAGCTGGAATGTTCGAGTTTACACTGTCTCGCTCGAGAGAGCCCAGGTGAGCAGACTGCCGCGCCGCCGCGTGGCCCCCCCTCAGAAGTAAGTGAGCTTGAACACCCACACTAGCCTCCATTAGCCCAAGAAACAGGGAATGCAAAATAGTGTATTCGTTAAGACGATCGTTAAGAAGTCCATGGCAAAGCTTTTTAAACACGGCACGGCGAGGATTCATGCTTAAGTTTCACCAGAAAACATTTTTGCGACGTTTTGAGTGAAATGTGAGGGTGAATTGTGCGAGTCGATCGATAATGTAACCCTGAGGCCGCGTTCATAGTTCGCGACTCCGGAGATTAGGATAGTACGCGACAATGAAAAACATATGTATTGACGGGAGATTAGGATAGTAGTAGAGTAGTAGAGATTGCGCTGACAAGATTAGATACGTATCGATTGAAATCGCCGGAGAGTAGTAGATTGCGATATTACGATAGTAGGATAGTAGGAGATTAGGATAGTAGTAGATTAGGATAGTGCGCTGACAAGATTAGATATGTATTGATCTATTCGCTTGAAGTCGCCCAATCTACTACTCTCCAGCGATTTCAATCGATACGTATCCAATCTTGTCAGCGCAATCTCCTACTCTACTACTATCCTGATATCCTACTGTGAACTATGAATGCGGCCTATCTAACCCTAGGAAATTATCAAAAGTAGGAGACGTAGAGGGCGGAAGTGGTGTAGTGGCAAGTGGCACGCTTACCACGCGAGCGGTCCGGGGATCAAATCCTGGGTCGTGAGTCGCCCGGGCCAACCAAGCCTTCCATCCCTCCGGGGTCGGTTAATTGGTACCAGACTTGTCTGGGAGGATAAAAACACTGACTTGTACATCGGCTGGCCCCCGCAAGTCATTGTATAGGCCACATCGCATTCAAACGCCACTACGAATGTACAAATGGAAGTAGAATGCGTGCCGCATCCCAAAAAGGGATTGATCAACGGCAAATGCTTTATCCTTTAGGAGACGTAGAAGATGAAATGCGTCTCAAGCTTTCACAAAGCAAACTTCATGCCCAATTTGAAGAGAAAACCAAAAACTGCCAATTCTAACTGGCGATATATGTAGTCGTCCAGAAATGGTTGTAAAAGTGGTATCTAACCTACCTCCCTCGTGCATGCACTCAAAGTATCAGTGAGTTCCTTGCGTTCATCACTAGACATTTTATTCAGCAATTTTTGCAACTCCTCATTGTTCAAATTCACCTTCTCCAAATTCCCATTACTGAACGACATTCCTGAAATATGTATAAGAGTAGAGAAATAGCAAGCAGCTATAGAAAACGCTGATGTAAGTGAGTTGGGAGGGTCACGCGTCGGCGCAGTGTCTGTCAAACGCAATGGCACTGAGCCCGAGTCTAGAAGAAGGCTCAAATAAGCCAAAAGTCAACCACAAATCATAATGTTCACAGCTGACCCACCCTTTCATGAGCTCAGGTTTACATGGGAAGGCTCCCAGGTCGCCATGGCCATTCAAGAAGAGATGTATACCACTAGATGTGCCTTTGAACGCTGATCTCAAATCTACCTTCCAAATCTGCTAAACGATTCTCTGAACGGAGTTATGAAGCAAAACAGCGCAACGGTAGTGGTCGGGATTTGCAGTCAAAACGTCGTAGGATCGGCCCCTGATCGCGTCTACTGTTTTGCCTTCTTCAGGAGTACAGCTAAAAGGCTTTAATAGCCTATTTAGCCTAATTCCTGAAGAACGCAAGACAGTAAACGCGATCAGGGGCCGATCCTACGACGTTTTGACTGCAAATCCCGACCACTGCCGTTGCGCTGTTTTGCTTCATAACTCCATTCAGAGAATCGTTTAGCAGATTTGGAAGGTAGATTTGAGATCAGCGTTCAAAGGCACATCTAGTGGTATACATCTCTTCTTGAATGGCCATGGCGACCTGAGAGCCTTTCCTTGTTAGACCCATGGCGCTTGAAAAACGGCGCCGCTGCGGCATTTTTCGCTACGAGAAGCTCGGGTCCACTGTTGATCAACGGTGGACCTGAGGATTCCCGCAGCGAAAAATGTTTCGTGCGAAACGCGAAAAAGTTCGCTTTCTGTCCTAGTGAACCACACCCTAACTCACTTAGCACCGAAAACTAATGCTTCCGAGAATGATTGATTGGAAAAATGTTCAGAGAGAAGGGATCAGTGAATCCAACTCGAAAATAGAATAGAATAGAAGTTTCGACTGGAATACAAAATCCGTGGACTTCCCGCTCTCAACGATCAGAGGACATCGTTCGATTGCTGCTAGTGACCAGTTGGTGAATTGACGCAACACTTTCGTCTATACTTCTCAAAACATGGTTGAGTTGTTTGCGGAATATTGAAAAATTGCATAAGGGGAACATTCCACTTTGAACTGCAAAACATAACCAAGCAAGAAAGAAACGTACGAATACGCTTGTGTGTTGGGGGAGGGGGTGGTTCGCTCGGCAATGGAGCGACTTTTTTCGCATTAAGAGCGCAAAACATTTCTGTAGAACCTCTGGGACCTGAGGTTCCCGCAGCGAGAAATCTTTCGCGCTGCGAAACGCGAAAAAATTCGCTTCTATCCTAGTGTACCACACCCCGGAGGGGGGAGGGCGTCGCGGCACAGTACCTTTCGCAGGACAGGGAAGCTCCAGGATGTGAAGACCATTTTGTTCACGCAAGAAGGGACTAAGCATTTACTCAAGTGGAAGTACATATACTCCATATCTCGAAGTCAGATTAGGCGTGTCTATGGGTTTGACGTGGCGGCCGCCGCACTTGATGGAAGAAGTTGCGCGGATAAGCTGCTTCCAGCATGCTTTGCTGATATCCACGGAGTGTTAGAAACATATCATTCACATGACTTCTATCAAGTTCGTCAACGGCCACGTCAATGCATAACCACGCCTAATCTATCGAAATATCGACTATATCTGTCATGGGTTGCAATTCTTGAGTACCCTACGTTGCAATGCCCTCCCCTGGCACAGTAGCGCCCGCAAGGAAACCAAGTGAATCAGTAGCAGAAAATGCAGACTAAACATCTTACCGAAGTGACTTTGTGAAGTAAAATAGAAGGATGAACAGGCTGATGAGTTCACAAATAACGCGCTCCATCGACAAGGTGAATGACGCGACGCGACGGCCATCACCGTCGGCATCCGCTGCCTGTTGAACAGCTGATTCATCAGACGACGCCTACTTCCTTTGATGTCCCTGCGCCTGGTTTTCTTGTCAAAGCATTCTTCTTGTTCTTATCAGCTCGCAGAAGTCGACATGTTTTGATCAGGCACCAGAAAATTGACAGAGCCTTGTTTTTCGGTCTTGCTTATTTCTTCCAAAACTAGTTCATCCTTGCATCTATTCATTTAAGGTGAAAGAGTGCATAGCTTCTTTTGTATAAGCGGTGTACTGATCTTCCCATAGTCCTTAACCATTCATACTCTGCTCTTGGCCTTATCATTTGTTTTCATTCGGGGATTCAGTGGTGCAGCACGTCACCGCGACTGTTTTCCTCAATGTTTTCCAAGTATTTTATCTGTTCATAATTTTCCTGCAGAATTCAGGCGTATATATATATATATATATATATACTATTACATATATACTGCTCCTTGAATGCTACATTACCCCTATTTCTCCGAATATGCTTCATCGAATGTTGCGAACAGCGATCAGAGGATTGAGTGGTTTCTCCCTATCTTAAAAACGTCTTCGAAAGTACAAAGAACAAGGTGTCATGTACTCCCGAAAACCCTCTGTTATTCTTCAGTGCTGAGGGCTTGTTTGAAAAATTACTTATGAAGGAGTAGTATGGTAACTGGTTGGCTTATTGTCAGGTTGTCGAAATTGCAGAGATTATGGTAAATGCGAATACGGTGGATCGACAAGTCACGAGACGCTGATAGAGTTTTAAAGAACTAGTCACAAAATGTTTCATTTGGCGGATTTTCATTACACAGAGTGATAACTAGTAGCGAGAGCAATCGCGGTTTTATTGAGTTTACCATAGTTCCTGCCCGATTTTTGTTCAAATTCAACTTTTTCAACTCAGGGGCCGGGTGCAGCAAGCCCCAACTAGGGGATGGGGATGAATCCCCTATCGCAACTAGTGATAAGTTCCACGGCTGGATATTCCCTTTTGGGTGAGGGATTCATCCCCAGGTTGGGGATATGTCCCCAAGGTTGCGGGATATCATCCCCACCTTGGGGATATGTCCCCTCATCCGACACTCAGCAAGAGATCGTTCAAGGGTTTCGTCACTGGACCCATCATTTTTCGATGGGTCCTATGACGCTACCGTCTCTGCCGGCAGAGGATCCCTCTTGCCGAGACTGAGGGATTCGTCACGACGATAGGCGACGCGGAGTATCGACGGCAGTGACCATGCCGCATGGTCGCTTCATAGGACCCATCGAAAAATGATGGTCCCTGTGACGAAACCCTTGAGCATCTCTTGCTGAATGTCGGGTGAGAGGACATGTCCACGAAGTTGGGGGATGTTCCCGAGGTTGGGGACAGGTGAGGGGAACTCATCCCCTAGTTGGGTGAGGGGATGGGGGTCCCCATCCCCTCGTTGGGGCTTGCTGCACCCGGCCCCTGATGTCTACTGTCCGTATCTCGGTCAGATCAAGCGTGTCTATAGGTTTGATGTTTTCGTCGCCGCATTTGATGGAAGCTGTGTGGATCAGTTTTTTCTAACATACTCCGCTGGACGGTGAGAAATGTACTGTACCTCACAGCCTGGTTTTACCAGCTCAATCAAAGCCCAAGTTCCGTTTTCATGATGTGTTGGATTGAGAGTGGGTTCTGTTCATCTGCTGCTTTGCTCCAGCAGGCAAGAATGTTGCCAGAAGAATCATCATTGAATAGCCCGAGGTTGTAAATGTCTCAAAATCTCTTTTCTTCGAATAGACGCCCGGCCTCACATTGCAGAGATAACTCGCCACGTTTCGAAGAAAATTAGCTGGACCACGATATCATTACTAGCATATAGCCTGAACATTACTCTTCGGACTGTCCCCTTCGCAATGCCTTGAAGCAGCAGCAGCGACAAAAGAAAAGGTAATGGATACAACCACCCCAAAAATTTCCTTCCCAAATTCTTCACTCTTAGCTCCACTCATTCTGGGAGGAAAGCACAACGTTTTCCTGGATGCTATAAATGATATGACAGTGGTTATATTTCTGATCATTTTTTCTTTGTCTTTTTGCCGGTATTTGGATTGGTACGTAACAGGGCTGGACGCAGTGGGTCGTTTGAGCGCGCTCGACCCTGGTTCAACCGTTGAGTAAATTGTCTCCAAATGCAGTTTTTCTATCAGATTTTTGACTTTGTGTAATAAAATTGCAATGTACTAAATGTAGCTGCAGTCCCAAAACTTTACATTATATATTGCTCTTAGAAAACTGGAAGTTTGGAAGGGAAAAGGATTTCAAAGGGGTGGGAGGAAAAAACTTTTGGAGCTAATGAGTACAGTGGAGTTTCCGTTACAATTCGAATCGCTCCCAGTGTCTGAAGACTGTAAAAAGAGGAACAAGTCTTGTTTAGTGATTTGTGTTCAGTCTAATCAAGAAAAACCCTCTCAATATGCTGCGGGCTCAGTGCCACATTCCAAAATATTCCATAAGTTGAATATTCCTGTGTACCCTGCTAGCTGAAACATTATGAAGTTTGCCAGTAGATACAGAACTGATAAAAAGGTTTCAAATAACAAAACTTTGAGGTGCCACCCAACGTTGGGTGCCACTGTCGCCAAAACGGAAAAAAAGATGAAAACTCTAAGGAATGGAAGTTCGAAATTCGAACAGAAATTGTGGGGAAACACAATATTTCCCCAAATCTTTACAGTTTGATTTTTTAGGTTTTTATTCTCTCAATTTCTTCTTAAAATACACGGCTTTTCAGCATACCTTATGGTGAGTATAGTGCCGTCAGAAAACGGATTCAAAAAATCTGCTGGAGTTCAGCTGCAAATTTTGTGGCTACATGAATAGGTCAACCCAATTTTTGTTGTCATTTTTTCAATGCCCACTATATTTCCCTCAGAAGCGGTGTCGTTTTTCGCTTTCAGCTATTCTTATTTTCACGTTGGGAGATTGTCACACTCTTTGACTTGCTTTTGGATACGCGAAGGCTTTTTTCCGTGTGAAGTTTGGACCAGAGTATTGCGAAAGGTGTTTTCGTGTGTAATCAGTTCTCGTCTCGGCCATGTCTTCACCAGTTTTTAGCCTGGGTACACACATCGTCCATCCTTCTCAGTCTCTCCCTCTCTCTGCGACCTTTTCCCATCTTTTACGCTTTTACGACTTTCATTGTACACACAGTCGCACACATTTTCAAGATATCTCCATCACGCCTTTTCAATTCTTTAGTGGGTTGAAACCTTTTCCCCTACACACCGTACCTCCGTCCCTTTCTGCAGCTAATACCGTTGTCAGGACCAAATCTGTTCCAACGAGGGGATAGGAGAATGTTGGGGCATTTGGTGCAGAACACTTAAGGCATGAAACCACAGCAAAACCTTTTTTTCTTGTTTTTTGGTAAAGTAATACTGATCTGGTTTTTTTTTCACAAAAGAATTGGTACACCCATCCTGTAGCTCATTCTTCACCAAATACTGAGATTACCATAATTTGCACGGACCACTTCATCGAATGGCTCCTAGGGCAAGAGTCAGACTCCGAGACTAATCATTAGTGAGTCGCGCGGCTTCGCTGACGATTGCTCATAATCGGATACTTGTTTCATTGGAGTAGATCAAAGCAATGTGATAGATTTAGGTAATAGTTAAGGAGTACGCTCTGGAAACGGTATTGTAAATAGAGAACTTAACAGATTTCTAAAATATTCTAAAAATTTGTCCTAAGAGCGAAAACTTCAAAGTTTTATTGAGGATAAGAGAGGAAAGGTAGGTGGGATGGATCACGGAGCCTGGGATGATGAAAGATGGAAGAGGAGTGGAGAGGGGTCGAATTCTCGAGAAATTTCTTGACATTATTGTTGTAACCGTATCGGAACTCGCAGGATGCTTCCCATTGTTGCATCTGAAACAATAGAGCCCAAGAAAGCAGTAGCAACAATCCATTCTGCTGATATTTTTTTTCGCACTCCCGCAAACTAGTTTTCCGATGTTGTTGTTTGTTTTGGCGTTTCAAGCATGGCAGTAGTCAACTTTGCCTTACAAGGGTCGCTGCGTACAAAAGGTTGTTAGATTGCAAACCTGTAAACAAGGTCTCGATTTGAAACACCCTAGATGACACTTTTCAAACATTGACACTCACAGTGATCCCGATGTCCTTGGCAGCTAAAAATTCCTGTTCGTGCTTTGTCTATACGCCATCCTCCGATGACCTTTTTATTTCTCTTCATTTGAGAATTGATGAAGTGCCTTGGCACACATTCTCCGCGTTCCTAACTTGAATCATCCGTGATGTTTTGAATTTTGTGCCGATTTTATCGCATTATGTTAGTGGCATGTTTTGAAAGTTCCATTGTTTTTAGGTCATTTTGACCCGTAGGCCCGATGGATTCTCAATAAGTGGCAGTAGAACAGAAAAGAAGTGATCGATCGTTTGGAGTCTTTCTTAAGCAAATATGCTGCCTCTTTTATTTCTTTCTGTAATTTGGTTTTTTCCGTTAGGTATGTTTATATTTGATGTTTTGAATTATTTATTTTATTGATTTTTTTCATTTATCACTGTCTGAACTTCGAATCATTTGTTCCACTTTAGTATATCCACTGAATAATTTTGTCGATAATTACGAAACCTTGAATTATCGTGTTGTGAATACTGCCCGGAGAAAACGTTCATCGGGCTACGCTGAGCCTTTAAATTTGAAATTCTTCGCATATAATAGGTTCGTTCATTTTTTTTTGATTTCTTTTTCTTACAATTAGGGGCCGTACACTATTACTGGAGGAGCAAATTTTCTTTGTCTGCCCAACCAGGATTATCCTAAAGGCTACCTGAAATGTATGCATGTGTCGAAAATACGAACGTGCTGAAACTAAAGAAGCTATGTCGCTGAAAAGAAATAAATTCAAAAGGGTTTTTTTGTTCTTTGCCCTGAGGAGAGGATAGCATACGATTTTATAGTTCAATATGATTAAACTTATCTATGAGGAGTAGATGCGCAGCTTCGTAAGTAAGATTCAAGTATTTGTTAAATGGTGGGGTTAGAAAGGAACTGATCATAGGGAGGGGGTTTTTTCTCGAAGGCTTTTTTTCCTCTTGGGCCCACAGTTTATGCTTTTTCTTTTTAGGTCATTCCATTTAAGTCTATTGCCACTAGATCCTTATAATGATCATTTTCATCCTGATCATATATTAGACGAAGATGGTCGCTATGAGGAAATTGAGCCTCATAAGTTTCTGTACGAAGGATTCGTCAAAGGTTAGTTGTTCAGCGCCGTTTATCCATTCTCTATTGTGTGGTCTTTTTCATGTTTTGTCCGAAATCAAAATTTCTTCTACATTTTAACCACACATATGATCAGCATTATCTTTAGAATACATACTCGTTTTTCTTGCCAGTTGTGACTGGTTTTGATAAGATCAAACCAGTCATTCATTCCTATGGCAGCAACTCTTCTTTCTTTTTCAATATTACAACAACCATTCGCCTAGGATGGCTACCTACCTGAAATTTGTGTGAATTCAAGAGATGAAAATCACTTCGAAATGCTCATAATTTGTTACAAAAAAATTAAGCAAAATATTTATAATTGGATGATTCCCTGTGCATACCACTGTCGCCCAAGTTTTTATGCAAATGAAACATTTTTCTTGTATTTTCTTGAATTCGTAGTTTATGGTTTTCTTTTAAGATGACCCAGGATCTAAAGTGTACGGATCGATTCTTGACGGGGTGTTCGAAGGTCACATTCGAACAGGGGATGGTAATTCGTACAGTGTGGACAGAGCAGCAAAGTATTTCGATTATGATAGTCGTCCGTCCCAGTATCACTCTATTGTATACCGCGATGGTGACATTAATCACAACAAGATACGTGTGAAAAGGTTCGCATTATACCATCAGTTCGCTTATTTTGAAAATTTGCGCCGGAACAAATAAATATGCTACTGTCTTTTCCAGATCAGCGTCTTCTCCAGAATCAAGTGATATTGGTTTGCACTCATGCGGTTTGGATGATCGTGTGAAGCGGGACATGGAGCGGATACAGCGTTCTGCCGAAGCGCCTTCAGACGTGTACACCAATTACATGACTATGTACGTTTGCAATATTTTTCTTCCTGTTATGTTCATTTTGCATTACTTCTTGGGTTATGGATCACTTGGATTCATAGGATTTCTATAACAGATGGTTGAATCCGCCCCTTTTTCTCTCCTTACCTTTTATGGCACATTGTTTTTTTTTGCGACAATTACTGATTCATTCGATTTTTGAAGTATTTCGTAAAGAATCAATAGGTTGTAGGGAAAGTTCTCGCGGTTTTTGACACATATCATTACCTTAATTTTTTATCAACAAGAAAACATATTAGGAAACAAAGTAATCACCATCACGTTCTATCACTCTTCGCCATTTTTCGGGCAGACTTTTGATGCCTTCGGCAAAGAACTTTTCTGGCTTCGATTCAAAAAAGTTGCTCAACCAGAGCTCAACGTGCTTCGAAAAACCGCGAGAACTTTCCCTACAACCTAATAAAAGCATTAAGGCGGAAGGGTAATATTTTTCTCCTCTGTTACCCTTTCATAAACAATTAAATATGATTGGTAGTATTTAAGTGTTGGCTTAACCTCCTAACTTCTCTTATTCACTCGTGGCCAACATATGTATCAAATGAAACCGCGTGCTCTCTGCTTTATGATGTGTCTCCTTGTATTTTGCTCGTTCAACAGACTGGTTATCACATAAGAATACCAATGAAGCACTAATGAAGTTTTTCTTGTAGGCATGGACGATCGAAACGTGCAACTCGGGATAGTAATGGATTGTACACAGTGAGAACGTGTTCACTGTATCTTCAAGCCGATCACAAACTTTACGAACATATCAAACGCAAAGAGGGAAACAACGATCCAATACGGTGAGCTTTCACAGTGATGGAGCATGTCCAGTATTTTGTTTGTTTCTTTTTTCATTTCTATCAGGCGATATCAATGAGCATTTTCTATGCAGTTGGATTTGGATGACTTTTCGTGTCTTTCTAACGTAACGGAGGGCCGGAAGTCAGCTTGGGTTCATTATTATTTCGATGTTGATTAACATGGGCTCATTTATTAGCGCAAATTTTCGGCAAGCGAATGATAATTGCAAACGTAAAAATTCTTTGCTATCCTTTTCTAGTGCACTTCCCGTGTCTAATAGATGATCAGCGTACTCAAAAGTAGGGCAAGTAAGAATTAGTGACGGATTAGGGACGGACGTATTGCTTTGTGCTCTAATACTTCAGTTGAAGAATGTTCAAGTTTTTCTTGCGTTTTCTTAGGGGTTTTTTGGTGCGACTCCTCGAATGGTGTGAATTTCTCCGTGAAAATTATGTGGGCGAAGAAGAGGGTTGTTTTCAATGACAGGTAGTACGGAAAGTTGGGAAGGCAGGGATAGCCGAGTGGTTAAGAGGTTAGACTCATGTCTGCACCTCTGAAAACCGCGAGTTCGATCCCTGCCGAGGCTCTAAACCATGCCTTGCAAAAATTGCAAAAATGGTTCTAGTACCAGCGTCAGGCCCAGGTTGACAGGCCGGCTGATGAAGACCCCAGTCACAACCAAATATGTCTAAAAGTCGAAAAAGAAATCAGTGATAAAGCTAGGACGTCACCCGGAAGTGGCGCGCAGAACCCCCGCCCGAGTTCTGTGGTCAGTATGCGAGGGCTACCGAGGAGTGAACGGCCTCGGCCAAAGAAGCTAGTTCGAATTGGGACTCTGAACGTAGGATCGCTAACTGGGAAGTCCCGAGAGGTTGCTGATCTGATGACGCGCAGGAATATCCAAGTCCTATGCCTTCAGGAGACGCGATGGAAAGGTGCTAAGGCCAGGGAAATCGGGGAAGGTGTCAAGCTCTACTACAATGGAGAAGACACCAAGCGGAACGGCGTGGCCATAGCGGTAGCGGAGTCGCTCAAGGACTATGTCTCCGCTGTGAACAGGATCAGCGATCGGATCATGGCTGTGAGGATAGACACGAAGGAGGGGTACTGGACCATACTCTCCGTGTACGCACCGCAAGCCGGGTGCCCCGAAAGTGATAAGGACGAGTTCTATCTGAGCCTGGACGAAGCCATAAGATCGGTTCCGGAAGATGATTACCTGACCATAGCAGGTGACCTGAATGGTCACGTCGGTAGTGACAGAAGAGGCTTAGAAAGAGTGCACGGAGGTAGAGGGATAGGAACGAGGAACGCTGAGGGAGAGAGGGTTCTGGACCTGGCTACAGCCCACGACTGGCAGTCTGCAGCACGTTCTTCGCGAAAAGGGAATCTCAAAAGGTAACCTACAGCAGCGGAGGGAGACAGACGGAAATCGACCATGTGCTGGTAAGAAGATCAACCCTCAAAACTGTGAAGGATATCAAAGTTCTACCCGGCGAAGATCTGGCTCCCCAGCACAGGCCCCTCCTGGCAGACATTGCGATAGACCTCCCCAAGAAGACAAGGGTAAGAACCGAGAGGAGAATCCGGTGGTGGAAGCTGCACCAAGCGGAGAAGGATGACCTCAAGCGGAAGGATAATGGAAGCTGGCCTCCCGGATCCACAAGGACCAGTTCAGCTGACATGGAGCAATGCCGCTAAGGTTATCCTGCAATGCGCCAAAGGGTACTGGGAGAGACGCGAGGTGGATTCAGAGGAGACAAGGCAGCGTGGTTCTGGAACGAGGAGGTCCAGCGAGTCGTGAAGCAGAAGAAGGAAGCATACAAGCGCTGGCAGAAGACCCGGAGCCCCGAAGACCTCGCCACCTACAGAGTTGCAAGAGGCTCGCTAAGGCTGCTGTCGCCAAGGCGAAGAACACGGAAATGGACGCCTTGTACGAGAAGTTGGAAAGCAGAAACGCAGAGAAGTTCGTCTTCAGGCTGGCTAAGGCCCGCCATCGTGCTACTCAAGACATCAGGGTGGTGAAAAGTGTAAAAGGCAGCGATGGTGTCATCCTAAGGAAGCCAGCCGAAGTCAAGAGGAGGTGGGAAGAGTACTTCACGGGGCTTCTGAACGAGGAGTTCCCCCACAAGAACGACTCACGGGCAGAGGCCACAGCTGGTCCCATCGCACTCTGGACTAAGGATGAGGTTAGGTGTGCACTTGGGAGGATGAAGGTTGGAAAGGCGGTTGGCCCAGATGGGGTGCCAATCGAGGCATGGAAGGCGCTCGGAGAGTACGGCATAAGGTGGCTCACCAGCTTCCTGAACAAGGTAACAGTGGAAGGAAAGATGCCGGATGCATGGAGGACAAGTACCATCGTCCCCATCTTCAAACAGAAGGGCGACGCAATGGACTGCTCCAACTACCGCGGGATCAAGTTGACTGCGCATACCATGAAGCTGTACGAGCGACTGGTCGATAAGAAGCTGCGGGAGCTGGTCCCGATCTCCCAGGAACAGTTCGGGTTCATGCCCGAAAGATCTACAACGGATGCCATCTTCATCGCAAGGCAAGTGATGGAGAAGTATCGAGAGAAACGCCGACCCTGCTACCTAGCCTTCCTCGACCTGGAGAAGGCGTTCGACCGGCTACCGCGAGCAGTGCTATGGAGGTCGCTCAGGGAACGAAACGTGCCAGAACACCTGATCTCGCTGGTGAAGGACATGTACGAAGGAGCCAAAGCAGCCATACGCACCCCTCACGGCCTAACAAAGGAGATAAACATCACGGTTGGGGTGCATCAAGGGTCAGCTCTGAGCCCCTTCCTGTTCCTCCTAACGCTCGATACCATGGTGAAGGGCCTCATGGAAGGACCACTGAAGACCATCCTCTACGCTGACGACATCGCCCTGATAGCGGATAGTAGAGAGGAGCTACAGGCCAAGGTGCAGCAATGGCAGAAGGTCCTGGCAGAAGGCGGGCTACGGCTGAATGTCAAGAAGACCAAGTTCCTGAGCTCCGAAGAGGGTGCAGAGCCGATCGTAGACGGCCATGGTGAGACCATCGAAAGAGTGGAGGACTTCCGCTACCTTGGGAGCGATCTGGCAGCTGATGGCAGTGTGGATCAGGCGGTGAAGGCTCGGGTCAACACAGCATGGATGAAATGGAGGGAGTCCACTGGAATCCTCTGCGATCGAAGGTGCTCCAGAACGCTCAAAGGAAAGGTGTACCGGACAGTGGTAAGGCCTGCGATGCTATACGGCAGCGAGTGCTGGCCCCTGAACAAGAACCACGAAAGGCAGCTTCACTCCGCTGAGATGAGGATGCTGAGTGGGCCTGCGGCTGGACGCGGCTGGACAGGGTTAGAAACGAGGTCAGAGCGGTCATGCAGACTGCCCCTGTCCAGCTGAAGGTACGGGAACAGCGTCTACGATGGTATGGGCATGTGCTAAGGAGGCCACAGGATCATCCGATAAGAACAGCGATGGACTTCGAAGTGCAAGGCAAGCGACCGCGAGGAGCCCCAAGAAGAGGTGGAGAGATGTGATCAAGAAGGATCTAAGTGAAGTCATGGCCACAGCAGAGGACGCCCTGGACAGACTAAAGTGGCGACGACTGACAAAGACAGCGGACCCTGCGACTGCGCGGGACTAACGCTAGGGAGAAGAAGAAGAAGAAGAAGAAGTAGGAAAAGTTGATTTGAGCAATTGGAAAGGCAAGCTTTGTTTCTTATTACTATAGATATCTTTTAATATTACAAGATTACATTTTTATTATTACCAGTTGGGCTGCGCACGATACCGAGCGCGAGAGACGGCTGCGGTGAGTAGATGACTTGTGGGGGATGATACTGACCCGAGTTGCGCAATACATATGCAATCCGTATCGTATTGATAGCTCAGAAGTTTTCAGAGACACATATGCAATCAAACATCCACGGCCCGAGCCCCATACTTTTTCGACTTTTTCGAGCCGTCTTAGAAAAGAATTATAAATGCAGTGGGATACCCAGTTTACACCTATTTACACCCCGCCAGACTGAGCAATGCTCAGCCAGCTGAAGGGTATTTCATGCACAGAATGAATAGTTTTTTCTATCATTCTCTTTTTGCTTTGTGCACATGATGATACAGTCACGAATTTTTTTGCCAAGCATCTTCCCATGTTTGTAGGCCTTCTCGGGTTGCCTTACTTTCATGTATTTGAGAATCTGGAACATGGCAGAAGTGTTACTGATGGGAGTGGTTTGGGTTTTGGGAGTCTAGGTATAACGTGAAAGGGAGGAGAAAGAGGGTGGGAGAAGTTGAGACAATTGGGTGTTTTTCTCGTTTCAAGGTTATTTAATACCGCCATCCTAGTTTCTGATGAAAAAAAAGCGAAAAAAGTTATTAAGTGTGCCCCCCCCCCAATTTCGATTTTTGACGCACGCCCCGCCCACTGGGGGTGGAGTTTAGCATGGCCAATATATTCCCCTTATAGAGCGGTAAGTGCCCTATTAAGGCCTATTTTTTCCCTGTCTTTAGACTGTTCTGAAGCCAAAAACTGCAATTTTTTCACCAAATTTTTAATTTCGACGCACGCCCCGCCCACTGGAGGCGGAGTTTAGCATGGCCAATATATTTCCCTTAGAGAGCGACTCATACTCTACCCATTCCAAACTTGACCCGCCCTCCCTAGGTGATTTTTGAAGGAAGAATTATAAACATGTGGGGGACACTTGTGAATTTTTGGGGAGCGGTCAGACAAACAAACTCTGGTTTATATAATAGTATGATTATATTAACAACTGTGAACTTGAAGACGACGTCGGGGAATGGGATATGTCAAGTCTTTGTAATTCTGCTCTGCCTCATTTGCTCATACTCTACCCATTCCAAACTTGACCCGCCCTCCCTAGGTGATTTTTGAAGGAAGAATTATAAACATGTGGGGGACACTTGCGAATTTTTGGGGAGCGGTCAGACAAACAAACTCTGGTTTATATAATAGTATGATAGGGTTGTAATGTAAAGAGGTAATTTTACATTTGGAAGCGAGACGTGGGACTCTCGCGGCTGTAGGAGCATCCTCAATGAACCCTTTTGTGGGAAGACTCATCTCTAAGTGGTTGGCCTATGATTGGATCGTAGGGATGGGTGTCCGCACATGCGGGCGTGGAAAGGTAGAACGTGGCCACATTGATGAAGTTATCTTTCGCGGGGTAATGCTGAGCACAGAAATCAGTGGGACAAGTAGGTCTCATTCAGCGGGTATTAGGTTCTTTTCCCCGGTTTTGATTTTCAATGGCGAGCGGTTCATCCTACTGTCCGCTTTTGAAAAGCGACTGTTCAGCTGCGTAGGTGTGAGGTGTGAAACGAGCAGCCTGGGGTGACCATATGCCAGCGTGAGTCTGTGGGAAGTTCCAATCCAAAAATGGGTGGGAAAAATCTGATGAAAAAATTTACTTTGCGTGGGAAAAAAGAGGGCAAGAAGTCTTTCCGAGCTTCGGAGGTTTAAACTGCTGCGTACAGTTCTTGTAATATTGTGTTGTAATTGTCATGTTCTCTGTATTCAATCACGAGTGCTGAGACCGCGGCTTTGAGCACCAATACGTGCTTCACGCCACAGCGGTATTAGGTATCTCACGTCGTAGCACGGTAAGGCAATTGTTTACCCAGTCCGCCTCACCTAGCGAAGCTTGTTCATTGTCAGCGCTGAGGCTTCTTAGTGGAGGATACATATAACTTAGCCAAGATAAACACATCAAAGCTTGTTTGTTCATCATTTTTCTTCGCTTCCGGTTTCTGTTGAGCTCAAACAAAGTCAAGATTGAAAAGAGGAGAACTTGCACGCCGCTTCAAAACATTCCTAAACCATTTCACCAATTTGTCTAATCAGAGTGATGCTTGAGAACATCGTTTTTCAGAACTCGTGAAGAAATTGTCAGTTTGTTCTATAATCACATCAAAGCTGTGAATGAGATCTACGAAGGAACGAACTTCAACGGTATCAAAGGCCTTCACTTTGTGATTCAAAGAACCTCGGTAAGTTCAGTAATCATTATGTTTTGCCCATTCAAGCTGGCTACTTGCCATTTGCTTACCTTTCTTTTCAGATTTATACCCCTGAAACTTGCGATCGTGGTCGACCTGTACCGGGCAGCGATAATCCGTTTTGTGAAGAGAATGTTGATGTGTCCAACTTCCTCAATCTAAATTCTCAACGGAATCATTCAGCGTTCTGTCTCGCTTATGCACTTACTTTTCGAGATTTTGTGGGAGGAACTCTTGGGTTGGCGTGGGTAGCCAGTCCACAATACAGTAAGTCCATTATTTCAGAACAGTTCAGCTTTACGCGCTACAGCACGTAGAACATGTTAGACTTGAACGAAACTAGTCAACGTATGGGACATACCATCACCCCACCTAATCAGGCAGAGGCAACAAGTAGTGTTCACTCAGTGAACATCAAAAACTTGAGTGAAGCGGATCAGTTTGCGCTTTCGGCCCTGTTTTTTCTAACCCCCTTGTCAGCCTCTGCCTGACCAGGGAATGTTTTGAACTTCTCATGGAAGTTTGAAAGGCGAGATAGGTGCATCGATAGTCTTGGACGCTGATTACAAATATGGACACTAAAACTGCTACGTGAACTTTAAAGAAAGTTGTGAGCCTTAAAAGTTGCAAAAGAACGCTAATGATGAGGTGCAACCTATGTGGAAACGCAGTTGCTTTTTGCCTGGAACTTAAAGGCACGCTCCCGCGATCAGGCGGGCTCGCCTGTTCCATCCAGGGGGTAGTAGGCAGGCGAATAAGTGTTGATGTCAGGCCATTTCGCGCTTGAAAGGGGCGCAAGGAGCTCGTCCGACCCGCACCTCACACTTTCGTCCGCAAGCCCCACCCCTTGCTGTCGGTTGCCACGAGGCGCTGCTTGAAAAGCGCGGGCGCATTTGAGGGAGCGGTCCCATTGCGAACCAAAGTCATTGGCACAGGAGCAAATAGAGTTAGGTTCGTGAAACTCGTCCAATTCGCCTCTTCTCTATCGCAA